ATGTCAAAATCTGCATCTAGCTCTTTTCTTCCGCGAACATCAAAAGATTGGAATGAACTACCTTCTGTTTTGGCCTCTCAAACTTCTTTAGCCACATTTAAAAATATGCTGAGAGGTTACACAGGCTATTAATAATGTATTTTGTTTACTTTTTTATATTTTTAAATTTTTAGTTTTAGGTTATCACAGGATATCCACGGATGCCACAAGTCTCTTGTTCTTTTTGTGATATCCTGCTCTCTTGAGTAAATAAAATCTTATCTTATTATCTTATCTTATATGAAATATTATGATATCTCTTAAAATTTGCTAGCCAGTGCCGATGCTTGAAGCTCCGCATAATGATGTTCACGAGCTGTTGTTAATCCCCATCGTGGTAAGTCAGTGCCATACACTAGCAAAGAGTCCTCACGTGCGGTGGTAAAAGGTTTAAAACGAGATCATCGACTATTTCACTTTTTTGCTTTCATGTTCCGTGCTTATCTAAATATTCTCGAAAATGTAAAACGTAGGACCAAGGGAGGAAAAGTATTTTGGAATGATATGGAATGGTACGGAATGGCCTGGAACGGGGCATTCCAGGCCACTCTGTATCATTCCAATGTGGTCTAAAACGTTTGTGCACTATTTTCCACGAGCGATGGCTAATTCACGTTCATTTGGCGAAAGTGCTGTCTTATTAAAATCTAAACTCTTACCAATCAATTTGATTAAACACTGTAACTTACACTTTGTCGAATTCATATAAAAACGAAGCTTATACACAAGACAAAATGGTCGTAGTACAGTACTTTTCAGGAGGGGGTAACAACTGAATTTTGGCTTTTTCCGATTTTCACCAAATTGAATGTCACCGGAAAAGTACTGGAAGTCATTGAAAATCACAGAGAATTACAGAGGATCACTGAAAATCAGTGGAAATCAATTGATTTTGGCTGATTTTTGGCTTATTTTGAGCTGATTCACTCTGCTGTTTCTCCCTTGACTTTTTATCACAGTAACTCAGATATAGACAACATTGTAACACTCGTGTCTCGTTTGGTATTTAAAACAAAACTGTTGTTTTTTCTTTAAGAAAGGGAAGAAAAATGCTGGTAAGAAAGACACATGAACGAGCATATTTTTTATTCACAATAGATATTCAAGCACCAAAAAAATCTGGTATCGTCCGATTCATCTAGACTACTAGATTTCTACTCTATTCCAATTATTTGGTAACGACAGTGGAAATTTAGTATAAGGGCGACTATTAGATTTCTCCTCAGTTACAACTATCGATTTTTTGTCCGATAATTTAAAAAAAATTATTTGGTAATCAATTTAACTATTGCCAGTTTCACATGCAGACGCATCTAGTAAAAGTTCCTTTTCCAACTAGTCGTGAATCGCTCGATTACAGATGAAAAGTATCTAGCCGATATCTATTTGAGTAGAACACATCGAACTGGCAATGTAGATAAATGCTTTCGATCACCGGACGACTTTTGGCCGAGCTATAAACATTTTTCTGTTGTTCTAATCTGGAAAGATCACAAAATTGATTTTCGAAAAAACGTTTTTCACCTGGAAAAAACATTCCATTTTCCGTCTCGTTTCCTTTTGTCCACTAATGAGTAATTCAGAGAGTGTGACTTGTAATTAAAATTCAGAACATTTTTCAAGATTAAAAAGAAAACTTGTACACCTATAGTAAACACAAGATTAATAATGTCTTAAGTCTTGACTTTTTGAATGACTAATATTGTTTCGTTTTAAAATTCGTTGTTCAGCTTCTTTCGCATCCTTAATGGATAGCACTATAATTTTATTATAATCAAATATAAATTTCAAATAATTAACACCTTCTCGATTCGTTTCCGCTTCTATGACATCATTTAATTCTTTCATATTTCGAACTTCAATATCATTCACAGTACGTAATCGTTCACAACTATATTTTGATACGTAACCATTATTGATTTGATCAACTAATATTTCACATAATAAAATAATTTGTTCTGATTTTGATTGTTGTAACCGTCCGTGATACAAATAACCTGCTATATTTTCAAATCGTGGATACGAATACTTGTACCAATCTTCCAATACTGCACTCGACGTGATAAACGGTTTTGTTAATGGTGTAAATACTAAGCCACCAAAAATTAAATATTGTGGTAAACTATCGTACAATTGATATGGGACTAAATCCGAATGATAATCTAAAATTGTTTTTACTATCATTTCTTGACCATTTCGAATAATTGACAAAGATAGTTCATTACCAATAAATTTTGATTTTTCCAAGAAGCGAAAACTAATTCGTTCACCACGACGAAAATAAATTGTTCCATCATCACCAATTGGTACATTATCAATCGATATTATCACATCATTTTCTTTTAATACTTGATAAATATTCGACACTGGGTCAATGTAATTAACGAGTATTCCATGTTTATTGCGTGGAATGTGTAAATAATCTTTTAAATAATCATTTTCCAATGGTGACCATCGAAGTGCCAATTGTGGATAACCAATATATCGTCCGTGCTCTTGAATTTCATCCAAAAAATGTAAAATAACTGGTACAGGTATAATATAACCACAACTTTGTGCTTCTTTTCGACCTATTAGAAACAGAAATGGAAATATGATGAAAGTGAACATTCTCTCTCTCTTACTTTGAAATGCCACACCGACAACAAAATTGTTGCTTTGTAAACATGGTCCACCCGAATTTCCACTATTGATAGCAGCATCAATTTGAATTTGTAATAACAATTCATAACTTTGTTGATATGTTGATACAACAACACGTGATACAACACCTTTGGTTACACATAAATTATCCCCTCCCGTTGGAAAACCGATAACAATGACCGCTTCTTGTAATCGTGGAATGTCACCAAATTTTAATTCATGTAAACCATACCAAAATTCTTGATCATGAACAGTCAGTAAAGCTAAATCAGCTTCATGACTGATATGTAGTACACAAGCAAGATATTTTTTAACATCCCCATTTTTTCGGATAAGTATATTCGTTGCATCCGATACACCATGCGCATTACCCAATATCCAACGTTTTTCAGCATTGTTACGAATAACAAAACCAGATGATGTACTGAATGTGGGAGATTTCATTTGCCATGGTACACTATAATTGGGTTTAACATCTGTACAAAATATTTTTACAACACTTGTCAATAACAGGTCAAATGATTCTACAGTATCTGTTCTTAATTGTGTACATTGTTGTTCACTAAATGTTGGTATTTCTTCTGTTTCTAACCATGATGAATGTCTATCATTTAATGGTAATAAAATAGGCGATGATTCGTCCATGTCAGTACAATGATATATGCAACTGAATTCGATCTATTGGTCCTCTTCTGTACTTTACCAGATACGCGTATATGAATAAAGAAATGTCAACATTCTGTAGAAGAAACAAAAAATATCTATTTTACACCCTGCAGCTGTTTTTTAATTCCATTTTTCTATTATTTAAAAATGAGTCACTCAGAAGTACACAGTTTAGTATTGTAATATCTGTCTTATGACCATATTCGCAGTATCAATGATGATGATATATATTGCTTGGCTTTTTCCGTGTATTTTGAATGACTCATTTTTAAATATCAGAACAACTCATGGCGGAAAACAGCTGCAGGATTTAAAAAAAAGAGTTTTTTTTTTCTTTTCTTTCTTCGAGATATTGGCAATGATGGACTTTCATTTTTACATGAGTTATGTGATCATATCGTCTTGTACTCGTTGCTACACCAACTGGGTTATATATTTAACTCAGATATTTTCTTTCATGTCAGCGTCTGACTTCACTTTCTTTTAATTCTAAGCCACACAGAATCCCAAACTAGTGCACACAGTATCCTTATCTTATAATTGGAAATCCAAATACAACAAGTAAAAACAATCATCGAATTTCAAGTATAACTTCTCGAATTAAGTTTCATCTCAATCGTCACAGTTAGAAATGTGCAATCGAACGGGTACAAAAATCTCGGCTACGACTTTTCCGGTCTTTTAGCTAACAAGCAGAAAAATACATATAATCATTAAGAAAAAAGTTTATCATCATTCTCAGCACGGCTTGGGAAATCGTAAAGCTGCGACATTTTTGCCACACTTTTTTGGGATTTTTCTCAAACAGCAGAGTAGATAAAGACTGATTCTTGTACCAAGTTGAAGCTACCTGTAATCCCAACGTACGATAAAAATAATCAGCTTAAGGACTTTTGTCGCCCATTTTTTATAAAAGACATGAAGAGAGCCACATTGTGAAATTTTTTGCCCTTTTATTATCAATCACTTACATAAACTTTCATTCTGCGAATGTAAATATTTCTTTACAAGAAGATCGTAACAAACTTCGTAGATAAATCTCACTTTATTACCAGCGGCTTTGAACTTTGACATAATTTTATTATTAAATTATTGTAATGTCGACGTTTCACGATCTTTCTCACATCATTTTCAAAACAGAAGCAGTTTCAAAATACGAATAAATGTGTGTACATTAAAAAACATGAATTGTTTTCTTTATGTACAACGTTTTTTCTCTTCATGTTTTTAATGTACACACATTTATTCGTATTTTGAAACTGCTTCTGTTTTGAAAATGATGTGAGAAAGATCGTGAAACGTCGACATTACAATAAGTTAATAATAAAATTATGTAAAAGTTCACAGTTGCTCTTAATATAGTGAGATTTATCTTTACAATTTTACCCATATAAAAACACAACTATAAACTTGTAACTTTGTAGAGGACAGTTCCGAGCTAATCTTTTTCTGAAAAACAAAATTTTAAAAAGTTATTCACTCATGGAGAAATTCTAACTTTATCTACGTAACGTTGTGACACCACCAACGTTTTCAACGGTGAGGGGATTGGAATAGGTCTAATTCAAACGGATATGAGCATCAGCCGCATGAGGACGTCTCAGTCTACCCAAGCTTAGAATTTTAAAACGTATTTAATACTCCTTACAATTACCCAAAACTCTGAACATCTCAAAAACGTATTTGTCCTATAAAACACTGTTCATAATGTTTTTTTACACTCAGAACTAGTTCATCTTGCAGAGAATTCTATGGCATGATTTTTGGAGTTTTGTAGTAAAATAAGTGGGTCAGAGAATTCAAATTAAAAAAAACTCAAAATTTAAACTTGAATTTTCTGTTCGAAAACTCAATTTTTCATTCACTTTATTAGCCAAATTATTTAAATGGATAACATCAGGCATGTGGTATGCATTTCAAAAAGGTTTAACATCCGCTGCAGCAACAGCAGGTAGAATAACATTAATTAATCAACGGTTGTTGAAACTATGTTCTTATGCTCAGATGCACGATGGATCGAAATATCCTTCACATAAAGAAGCAACGGAAACATGCATTAATTGTAAAGAGAATAATTGTTGGATAAAATATTATGATTCTAAATTTCGATCAGATCACATACTATCGTTGCGCGCTGCAATAGAATACGAAGCGACAGAAGTTACGAATCAAGGACAAAGTGAAATAGAAGCTTTTATCGAAATAATGACATTGGCAACAGGGCACTATTTTAGTAAATATATTTCAATTCCATCCAAGAAAAGAAGAGAAAAAGAAATTATGTTAAGAGTGTAGTAAAACGATGAAAAACATTTTTCACTTTTTTGTTGGCGCGGTAAAGATCTATTTTTTCTAGTAATAAACCAGTGTTTCATTTTTAATAATTTTTTAATTTCTCTCTCTGATTTAACTTTGATCCATTGGTTTCTCCTGGATCCAGATCAAGATGAGAAGCAGTCAATAACTGAAAAAGGACTCGGACTCTGGACCCCACCTTTTGTCAGCCATCCAATGAAACGGTGAATACAGCGAAGGCGCAGGAATTAACTGTCGGTGCCCCTTCGCCTACTTTAATTGAAATAGCTGAAAAATCTCGTACTTATATCTATTGTATAAGTGCATTTCTACTATCAACTATGAATTCATCTCCACATACAAGTCCCTTAGTTGTTGTACGGATGAATTCAAAAGGAGGTAAAATATGAAAAATGGCCTATCCTGAGGAGCGGTTTTTCTTGTCCGATACTTCTGGAAATTTTACTCATATACCGAAGTTTAGTACTCATATCAGGCTGCCAAACTTCAGTTTTTCTGGTTGATCATAACAGATTTTGCTAGAAATCTTTGTAATAAACCAGCAAAACTAAAGATGAATACGCCATAAAGTCGAAAGCATAGTTTAACAGCCTGACATGAGTACTGATTATTGGTATATGATCGCCAAAATTTGCAGAGGTATTGGACCAGAAAACCGATCTTCAGTATAGACTATTTTTCATATTCTACCCCTTTTGAGCTCATCCGTACAACAACTAAGGGACTTGTACGAAATAAATTCGTAGTTTATAGTAGGGATACACTTATACCCTAGATATAAGTAATTCTAAATGCAATAATCTATTTTTCAGGTAAACAAAAGTTATGAGAAAGTCTTCTCGCTGGTAAAATTTTAGTATAAGTTCACACATGTCCGACAGTTACATATGCTTTTGACTATAGAGATTACTCGACCTAGACTAGTTATGCATCAGACGTGGACTCTTGATGTACTTCTTAGACCAAGATTTAAAAAAAAAGAAATTTCACCTTTAGTTATCGTTTCAGCCTGTTTTTAGGGCTTTACGAAAAATTCCATAACTTTTAAAATAAGTAAGTTCCGGTGAAAAACTTTTGAAAATCTTCGTAAATATAGCGCTGCTACCTACTGTGCAAGTATAAGCAAAAAATTCAGATATTGATTGAGCAAATTAAATCGTCCCTAACGTGCAGCGGCTCTTACGCAAGACATTTTTACGGAAAAACCACGAAATACTGTACATAATCAATTTCAACTGAGTTTCAAGGTTAAGCTTTTTGAGCTGTGTTTTCCAACAGTATTATTTTGTCGGTTCATCACGCCATTAAAATTTCTATTCTATATGTACTTCCTACTTCTCTCAAATGCTTACAAATGATGTTTGATAACATCATTTGCAGCTCTTTAGAAGAAAATTTCTTTGCTGAATAATCCATAAATGATGGTGATACACTTCCATTTAATAGTGTTAGAGTTTGACTCTATACATAACCTCCAAATGTGGTGAATTTCTATCAAGAATGATGTAACTTAGAACCTGACCAATACGTCGTGGAATGAAAATTATTTTGAGGCCAACGTACGCATAAGTTAATTTTATTCTCCGAACGTAAACAGGGTTTCTATTTGTTTTTATTACATACTGCTACAGACGCCAAAATATAAGACATTCGGTTGTTTTTCAAATAACTCAAGGCTGACAAATGATAGAAACGTGCGGTTTTCAGAAGTCAAAAGACGACACCTGAAGCTATATTTCCACAAGCCAAACTCCTTTCCGGAATTATTTGAAAGATCAATTTTTGTGAAGATCTTTGGAAAACCAACTCAGATCTCTCTAGAAACTGACATAGAAATCGCTTGACTTCTTTTTACAGATGGATAGTCCAAAGTGGTCTCTCCAAACTGAGGACTAAGTGAACTTTTAATTTTTGCCGGTTCAGGCGTGACATCGGATTTCCTGACAGTCTCAAGATCAATGCTTCTTTAGATGTAGTAATTTCGAAAACGAATGGAAACATAGGTAATCGACCACACTAAATCTCAGGGCGACATTTTGTTTTGCAAATAAGTTCCAGAAACTTAGTGAAAAAAGTGAGATGACCGATATTTGCCTATTTTTGAGTAAAACTAAAAAATTCATAAACTAGCCAAGATCCATCCAAATTATGCCGGAATAGCAAGATCTACTCTGTTTTACCTGCTCGATAGTATGCAATTCAATAAAAAAGAGAAGAAGAGGACGGCGGACTAATATAAAGGACTATAGTCAGTATAAGAGTTTTGTCGAGGAAGTAAAAAGAAATAGCAAAAGAAACGAAACAACAAATATAACTGTGCGCTTGGTTAGTGGTGACAGAGGAGTCCGGTACGAATACGGGGGGG